GGAAAGGCACTAAAATGTCTGCTTAGTTTCAACAAGTCTTATTTATTATGTACAGCTATCTACACTGTTACACTGACTCTGTTAGCATTGATGTTCTGGTACCCAATGCAAGTTATGCAAAGTAAATGCCTCCCCTTATAGAATTCCTTCTTAATGACAACAATTTCTGTCTCGATTTTTATACATTATGCAAGCTAGGAGTTTCTTGGATGATGTGGCATTTGTTCTGGACCTTGAAGAATGAGCAAGATTTTGGATGGGTGAAATCAAGAATAGAGATTTTTCAGACAGAAGGAACAGAAAACAGAATGAGGAAAATGCAGAATGTAATTTGAATATAGTGCATTGGTTTGCCTGAAGTATTGAGATGATGAGAACAGATATTGGAGACAAGACTTGATAATACATTAGGTAGAAGATTGTTATAAATGGCAAAGACATTGAGGGACAATCTGATGACAGGGGAAATTCGAAGCCACCTGTGGATATTACAGATAGCAGTGCAGTGACTGGAGGTTTGGGTAATAGTGGATATTCCTTTTCATCAAGGTCTTCTACAGCAAAGTTGCCCCATGAGAAAAAAAATCACAGTGATCATACTGTGTGTTTGTTTTCTTCTTACCTTCCTTCTTTTGTTTCCCCAGGCAATAGCTTCTCATGATGACCCTTTCCCTTGCCCTGTGAATAAGGTTGAAGAGATCTGAGAGACTTTACAAATTTTCAGAATCATAAAATAAATGGTATTGTGCAGGAAGTAAAATATGCCCAAATGCATCCTCTACATTCTAAAGTATATTTTTAACAAGTTGATTTTCAATCATTTCTACTATTATTCAGAATAACAGGAGCAAACTTCATTGAAAAGCCCTTATGGTGTGTGAGGATTTAAGAAAACATATTTGTGAGCATCACATAGAGTGATATAGAGGTCAAGACTTCTGGTATCTAAATCAGTAGTTGCAAGATAGTGGTCTCAGTGGTCCCAGGACTCTCATTAAAATCTTCATGGTTCTGAGCTCCATCTCCAAGAAATGAAGATGACACTACCTTTTATGTATAGGTGACTCTAAATTCAGAGGGGACTGATCAGAGGCATTCAAGGGGAAAAGTTGCTTTAACACTTACCCTTGAATGAAGAGATAAGTGAACTGACAGGAAGAACTGCAGAAAGCCGCACCTGTGTTGTGAGACTGTACATTATTCCAGCTTAAGTACTTCATGATTTTAAGAAACTGGAAGGTAATTCTCCTTCTTTAGAAGGTAGGAATTTTAGAGTTTGGGGTTTTTTTTGTTTTGTTTTACTTTTTACAACGTACATCATTTCATTCTATATGTTCTAATAATCAAGTATCTGTGGGTGTTTATAGCCTGTTAGAAATTGAAGTATTTTGAATATTCTACTACTATTTTTCAGTAGTATTGAAGAAACTATGAGCACAGACAGATGAAAATTAAGAATGTTGTCTGTTTCTTATTCTTGGTAAAGAGAGAACCCAGAAAACTGCATGAGGAGGGCTTTGAAGAACAAAAAACAGAGACCAGGATGGCAAACTCAAGGCAAAAGCCAGGTATAGAAAGAGGGTAAGACTTGGGCAAACCAAACAGAAAGGCTGACACAATGTTAGGGGCATCTTGTTCACCAGAAGCTGCCAGGGTCATTGGGAAGGAAGCAGGTAATGTCATATGGACATACCTTTTGTCATTACTATACTTAAATAATGAGGAAAGCAGACTTTACCATCAACATATATGAAAAGTATCACAAAAGTCAAATGCTCCCAACTGCCATCACTGAGAAAGATTGTGCAAACTATACATATCCTGATATCCTGGAGATTTTCTCCTTGAAGATATTTGCCAAGAACTTGTGGGGTATATGTATGTGGAAATATATTCTTTGAAAAAGCTCTCCTAGTGACTCTAATATGACCATTTATAAGTCAAGCGTGATTTAATACTATAGTAAGTAAGGGGAGTGTCTAGAATGTAAAAATAATAGTTTCTTTCTCCTAGGCTCTAAGAAACCATGGTTGCAGTTTTCGGAACTTGTTTGTTTTTGATGTTATTCAACATCCATAAGTGCAATTAAGCAAGCATTTAGAAAGCACCTATTGCATTCACATTGCTAGGCGACAAGATACTTAAAATTCACTTAGAAAGCAGCCAACTCTCTTTAGTGCATGTCTAAATAAAATAAATGCAAAAGAACTCAAGCAATGTATTGGAGGAATTAATAAATGAATTGAAGTAATAATCACTGCATAATCATGGAAGGCTTTCTGGAGAATATGAGATCCTGTTTTATCCTATATCCATCAAACTGACCTTAATCAAAGCCGACATTGTGCTCAGCTTAGGCTAAAAGTTGGGGGAGGCAAAATTTCACACTGGTCTTTGTCCTGTCTAGTACAGAAGCCAAGCTTGTAAAAAATGTCTTATTACAACAAAATGGTATCTAAATCTAAAAGGTGAATAACATAGCTAGGCAAATTTAGAGAGTCTTCTGAGAAGTGATAAATTGTCATTTTGAGAAAGCTATGTTTTTAGGAGGCAGAGAAGGGCAGGAAATACATTGCAACTTAGAGAAAATAACATGGATATAGTAGAAGAGCCCCAAAAGGACATGCTATATTTGAGAAATAGTGGGATGTTTCTTTTGTAGGAGAACTTGGCTGTAGGAAATGAGGATGGACAGGGAAGATCTTGAAGCCATGCTAGGTGGAATTCCCCTCAGAATCAGCTAGCTAAACATGTAGCTCTCTAGACTCTCACTGCCTTGCTGTAAATACGCCATGCACATACATTTACCACCTATCTCACTTTTGGCAAATCAGGTACCTCTCTAAGCCACAATTTCCTAATTGCAAATAAGATCATTGTAATAGTACTTATATCTTAGGGTAGCTATGAGTATATATAAGACTATGAAACCAAAACATATAATAAAGAGTATAAGTTATTAGTATTATCTAGCTTGTAAGCAAAAGGGGTCCAAAAGACATCTATAATGAGGAGACATAGCGTGGTCACAGGTGTGACATAAATAAGCTGGCAGTAGGTGAAGGATAGAACTGGGAGAAGGAGATACCATATTCACCCTATGGGACAGATATAGGGCAACTGCAGAGGGACTAAAAAAGAAGGTTAAGATGTTGAAAGACAGATATCTAGAATTTTGGAAGTAACTCATTGGGGTGAAAGATGTGGAAGGAATAAGAAATGCAGCCTAATGGTAACTCTACAATGTCTGTAAATAACTCAGAGAGGAAACACAGGAAGGAAACCCGATATGTAAGGGAATATGGCCAATTTTGCTCTAAACATCTGTATTCAGTACTTGGAGGACATTCTGGAATTGGAGATGTCCCAGAAGAAATTGGAGATCCTTTTTTGATAGAGGCTGAAATTGGAGATTCATACAAAGTGGGTGGTTCTGAAACAATAGAAATGGGAAAGACTTTCCTTTAGAGGTAAATCATCTGAGAAACCTTCAGAGGAAAGAGTCTGTTGGGGAGTAGACTAAAAAATAAATGATATGAGTCTTGATTGAAGAATGCTTGGGTATATTTGTTTTCTACCTAAGGGTCTTTGTGTTATCTGTGCCTTGTACCTGCAGTATTCTCCCCCTGATCATCACATAGTTTACATATTGTCATTCTATTCTCCATTTAAGTGCATCACCTCCTCAGAGAGGGCTTTCAAATTCCACAAACGACAGTACTTATGCACTCTCACATCACAGAGATCCTACATGTCTGGTTCCATGTTGTGCTTCCTATGCATACAATTGCTGGACACATCATTGGCATCTAGTCAGTATATATGGAATAAATTCATGGACTTTGATAGTCATGTTACCACTCCATACCTTACTTTCACATTTTGTAAAATAAAAATAAAAATTCTACACATAGCCTTGTAAGAATTACATGAGACAGTTCTGTCTAATCCTAGCATATTGTATAATACATTATTGGTATTGAGTAGGTGCTGGTTACCTGCTCTGACTCTTCTTGTATTCCTTACCTACAAATGCAATGCACATAGAAGACAGTAACTCAACTAACAACATAATTGTTTTGTCTTTTGTCTTATTTTGTCATTAGTCTTGATGAATCTTTCAAAATAATTTCAGCCAGTATTTCTTTTTTCTCTCCCAGCCCTTCATTCTCATACCTGCTTCCTCATTTCTTTCCCTCCACCTTTAACCATGACTGAAATTAAAATGAAAATTCTATGAAGAGTCTTCATATCATTTTTCTGCCCTCATGTCCTAAGCAGATCGTATGTTGAACAATCAAAATAGAAATATCACTGGCAAAATTTATCTGAGGAACTTGATTTAATTCTTTCCAGGCTTGTTGCAAAGCAAACTACCTAAGTACATTAGCTGGCAGGTGTTCTGGAGGTTCTGCTAAAAACACAAAAATTGATCAGAATACACCATTCCGGAATGAGCCAGCATCTTCAAAATTATATTAAATTTAAGTTAGTCCATTTTATTATATTAGACACTTCAAAAAGATGTTCAAAGAACTTCAAAGAGACATTAAGAACTTAAAAATTAATGATATGTCTTAAGAACTATTGTAATAAGAAAAATTGATGTTGTATGTCTCAACCTTTAATTATTACCACATATAGAAACCCAGAATATACAACATGTTAAATTGATTTGTCTGCTCTAGTTGTTGACACAAATGTCACCCTCAGAACCACTACTCTGTGGAGAGCACTGATGAAGATAGGATTGCATTGAAAGAAATGTGAATGTTATTTTGGAAATATTCGCTGATCTCTCAGAATTTTCTAAGTGTTTTAGTAATTTTAAATGATGGAATTATTTTATTCATTCAATCAACAGTTTATTTTAAGCACCCCTGAGTGCTATGGTACCACTAAATCACAAAAAGCATTTGACAAATGTAACATCTCAAAATCCAGTAAGTGAGATCAAAAAACTTTCATTCATTATTTTGTGTCTTCCTTGCAGATCCAGAATGGAGAAAAGAGAGATAAACAGTGCTTTTGGGGTAAAATCCAGGTATAGGTATTTGGGCCCACTCATCTACACAGATTATCATATTAGAATCATTCTTCTCTTAACTCAGGCTCCTGACCTTGACCTCTTTCCAAGTGCATTTAACTCCCTTTCCTCGGGTTCTCTAAGAGTTGCCTGACACTTGCTCAGGTCCCCTGAATAAAATAAAGGTAAATCAGTGCATAAGGAGCTTTATACAGTGATCTCAGACTTGTGACCAACAGCCCCTCTGCACCATTGATAGACAGTGGTCGTGCCCACCAGGAGGATGGGCAATCACACTGCAGTGAGCATATTCATTCTGTGGGGATTTTCCAGTTTTTCAGACCTGCAGAGTCTACTTTTTGTGGTGATTCTCTTCTCCCATATGACCATCCTAACTGCAAATGTGTCCATAATAGGGGCCATCAAGTTCAGCCACAACCTTCACACTCCCATGTACTTTTTCCTCTGTGGCCTGTCCTTTTCAGAAACCTGTACCACTGTGGTAGTCATGCCTCGCATGTTGGTGGACTTGCTGTCAGAGAGCAAGACCATTTCTCTTCCTGAGTGTGCCACACGGATGTTTTTCTTTCTGGGCTTTGCATCCAACAACTGTTTCATCATGGCCGCTATGTCCTATGTCTGCTACACGGCCATCCACAACCCACTGCAGTACCACCCCCTTATGACAAGAAAGATCTGCTTGCAGAAGATGATGGCTTCTTGGATGGTTGGCTTCCTGCTTTCTCTGTGCATCATCATCACTGTATTCAACTTGTCTTTTTGCGACTTGAACACTATCTGGCACTATTTCTCACCAGTGGTCTCCCTTGCTTGTAATTACACTTCCGATTATGAAATGGCTATTTTTGTACTCTCTGCCTGTGTGTTGATGGGGAGCTTTATTTTAATTATGATTTCCTATGTCTTCATTGTGTTCATAGTCACAAAGATGCCCTCTGCAAAGAGGAGGTTTAAGGCCTTCTCAACTTGCTCCTCCCACCTCACTGTTGTGTCCATACACTATGGATTTGCTTGCTTTGTCTATTTGAGGCCCAAGAACAGCAACTCCTTCCATGAAGACATGCTGACGGCCGTGACATACACAATACTGACGCCTCTGCTTAACCCCATCGTGTACGGTCTGAGAAACAAAGAAATGCAGATAGCCCTAAGAAAAACGCTAGGCAATGTAATTGGGGTTTTCCCTCAGAAGACAAAAAATGAGCCCTGACCATTTAAAAAAATTACATAACCTTGATAAATAAAGGTGGGAAAAGTGGAGTACTTCCAATTAATATCACTTTGTGCACAAACTGGTTAAAGTATTGTCTAACTGCCTAATATGTCTTGGTCTCACCATTTTCCTACTACAGAGAGGGTGCAGTTTTAAAATATTTTTAAATGTTGTGTGTGTTTGTGTGTGTGTGAGTGTGTGTGTATGTACACATATTCATTCAGGGAACGTATTGCTTTGGAACACTGTATTTTAATGACAGCAGTTGCTTTTTGGGAAGAAAAAAATTATGATACTAAAGAAAGAAGGACAGCAAGGAAGAAAGAAAGAATGTAAGGAAGGGAGGGAGGAAGGGAGGAAGGAAGGGAGGAGGGGAGGAAGGGAGGAAAGGAGGAAGGGAGGAAGAAAAAGAAAAAAATGGAGTCGACTAGTATAATTAATCCAAAAAGAGGGAGAAAGTACAAACACGAAAAGTTGAAATTGAAAATAGGATGTGATTAAAATAGAGAAAATTAAAAGCAATTTAAGAGAATACTTGGTTCAAATTTAATCAAACAAATTTGAAAATTAGAAAAAAAATCATGAATGCATTTATGGAAAAAATAAGCTTATAAAGTGACCCCAAAAGCAATAGACATTTTTTGACATACCAATTTCCATGGAAATTTTTGAGAAATCTGTCAAAGAGATGTTTTCCTATTCTCTCCCACAAAGCATTAGAGCAGATAGTTTAATAATTAATTTGTTTAAATTCTCAAGGAACAAATAATTCAAATGTTATTTAAATTGATTTAGAGCATAAAAATACACAGCTTCTAATTTATGAACCTCACAGTGGTGGGAAGTGTTATTACTGCTGACAGATCATGGCCCTGGTAGGGAAGTTCTGAAGTGGAGTGTGGAAGATTAGATGATGTATGCTGGTGAAGGAATTTTGAGGTTACATTGTTCACATGGTTATAGGGAGTGTGAAGTAAAATATTATTCTTGATTTGAATTATATTTTCCTAATGACAAATGACATCAAGGATCTTTTAAATACTTATTAATCACTTATATGTCTAATTCAGAGAACTATTCAAATTCTCTGTCCACTTTTAATTGGGGTATTTGTATTGAATTTAGATTGTTTAAATGATTCTAGATAACATCCTTGATCAGACATACTATGTGCAAATATTTCCTTCCATCCTGTAGGTTGTTTCTTCCCTTTCTTTATAGTTTCCTTTGAAGCAAAAGAGTTTTTAACTCTAATGTGGTGGAATTTATCTTTCTTTCTTTCTTTTTTTTTTTTTGGATCATGCTTTTGATGTCATAGCTAAGAATCTATTGCTTAATCCAAGATCATGAAGACTTTCTCCTCTTTCTTCTAAGAGTTTTGTAGTATTAAATCTTACATTTAGGTCTTCAGTCTGTTTGAATTAACTTTTGTATGTGGGTTAAGATAAGGGTCCAACTTTATTCTTTTACATGTGGATATTCAAATGACCCAGCACCATTTATTGAAAGGATTATTCATTACCCCACTGAATATTCTTGGCACCCTTATAGACAATCTGTTAACCATAGACACATGGGTTTATTTCTGACCTCAATGCTATTCCATTGATCTATATGTCTTTCCTTTTGCCAGTAAACACTGTCTTGATTGGTGGTGTTTGTTGTTGCTGTGTGTTTTTGAAACAGGGTCTCACTCCATTGCCCAGACTGGAGTGCAGTGGCACAATGGGTCACTGCAACATCTGCCTCTCGGGTTCAAACAATTCTCCTGCCACAGCCTCCTGAGTAGCTGGGATTACAGGCACCCGCTACGACGCCCGGCTAATTTTTGTGTTTTTAGTCAAGATGGGGTTTCACTATGTTAGCCAGGCTGGTCTTGAACTCCTGATCTCAAGTGAAACACTCACCTTGGCCTCCCAAAGGGCTGGGATTACAGGCATGAGCCACCATGCCTGGCCTTGATTAGTATTGCTTTATACTAATTGGGAAGTGTGAATTCTCCAAGTTTGTTCTTGTTTTTCAAGATTCTTTTGGCTATTTTGGGTCACTTGCATTTCTATATACATTTTATAATCTTGTCAATTTCTATAAAGAAACCATCTGGGACTTTGATAGGGATTTTGTCTAATCTGCAGATAAATTTGGGGAGTATTTCCATCTTAATAATATTAAGACTTCCAATTAATGAGCATAAGCCTTTTTCACTCATTAGGTTTTATTTCATTCCTATCAGCATTAAAAAATTGATATTACTGTAAATGGAATTGTGTTCTTAATTTCATTTTTATATTTTGCATTACTAATGCAAGGAAATACCACTGACTTGTTATATTTATCCTATATCCTACAAGTTGTCTGGACTCATTTATTCATCCCTATAATTTTAATGGGTTTCTATATTTTTATATATGTTTATGTTTTCTATATATTTATGTTTTCTATGAAATCATGTCATCTGCAAATACAGTTTTACTTCTACTTTTTCAATCTGGATGCCTTTTATTTCTTGTTATTGCTAATTGCCTTGCTTCCTCCACTGCAATGTTGACTAGAAGTGGCAAGAACAGACATTCTTGTCTTGTTCCTCATACCTGGGAAAAGCATCTAGTCTTTGGCCATTAAGTATGAAATTAGCTATGGGTCTGTTCAGGATTTTGTCAGGTTTAAACTATCTCTGTTTACTGATTACATGATCTTATACATAGAAAACCCTAAAGATTCCTCCAAAAGACCCTAGACTTGATAAACAACTTCAGTAAAGTTTCAATACAAACTGATGTACAAAAATCAGTTGAATTTCTATATACCAATGACACTCAAGCTTAGAACCAAATCAAGAACTCAATCTCATTTACAACAGCCACAAAAGATTAAAATACCTAACAATACACCTAACCAAGGAGGCAAAAGACCTCTACAAGGAGAACTACAAAACACCGATGAAGGAAATTGTAGGTGACACAAACAAATAAAAAAAAAATCCCATACTCATGGATTGGAAGAACCAACATCATTAAAATGACCATGTTGCCCAAAGCAATCCTCAGGTTCAATGTAATTTTTATGAAATTGTCAGTGTGGTATTTCACAGAATTAGAAAAAAACGATGCTAAAATTCATATGAGACCAAAAAAAAAAAAAAAAGCCCAAATAGCCAAAGCAATCCTAAACAAAGTAGTAATATAGCTGGAAGTATCCCAT